GGACAATGTATATACCAAATTTGGTTTGTGAGATTTAAGTGGGCTTATTTTCCAAAAATTTTATTTCGGCCAAACACTAACACAATGTGTAAGGGTCAATCTATTGTTATTATTATTACCTAAGTTTAAATTTTTGAAATTAGTGATTACAAAATTTGGTAATATATCGAGGGCTTATATTTAATACAACCTATCTGCAATTCTCACAAAAACTACTTTCTGGTATGAGAACGCATCATGGACTTAACTTTCATCACTGATCTTAATTTTTACTTTGCAATTCAATAACAAATTCTTTTAACAAGCGATATACATACAAGGTCGGCATTAACACAATCTATGACAGTTAAGTCTTAGGTAGATTTTTATATCAGAATCTTATTTTTCTGTAAATTGCAGAGAGGTTGTATTGAATAGAGGCATTTCATGTCACCGCGGCCACCTCTGTGCGCGACCTCCAAGGATTTGGACGACAGTCGAAGAGATTGAAGGTGTAGGTGAAATGAATATACGTGCAGCATATTTTGCCGATATGACGTAGGGTTGCCTATTTACACGGGACTTAAATTTTAAGAAAACGTCATACATACCTTTCTTTAAAGTGCTGTATCTTGGAAACCTTTTAACGAAATTTTATGAAAAAATTTTATTTGTTCCGTCTTATTATAGGCTTGAATTATAAATTTGTCACATTAAATTGATTTATCTATTTTTTTTGATTATGACGTTTTTAATTTTATTTTTTTCATAAAAACATTCTCTATAATGTTAACTTTAAGTACCGAAGTGGGAGTAATCCGCTACGAAGCCGTATGGACTCTAGATCGTCTAACGCTCGATTCAAATGATAAATAGACATTGAAATTTTATAAAATTGTATATTTTTGAAAAAGGAAATAGGGATGGGTAAATTCGATATTCGAAGCTTCGAGATTCGATATTTAATCGAATTTTAGCTCCAAAATGGCGAATTTTTGAAATCGAACTTTGTGGTGCTAAAATTCGGATAAAATCGAATTTTTATAAAAAAATCGAATTTCGGCTTTATTCGCAAAAACTCTGCAACTTTCATCTTTCTGACTAAACCTGACTTCAATATGTGTGTAAACATGCATATGTATAAGTGTATAAGTTCTTGTAAAGCAAGAAAAATAAATAAAAGTACATTGTACTTCTCAAAAAGTTAGTTTCAATACACATTTTGGTAATTTTTTTAACTGAGTCAAAAAAAAAATACATGATATACATTTTTGGATTTTCTCTGAAATTTTTTGAGAAAAAAATACTTCCTATTTGTATTCATTTTTGGTTGTGAGGCTAAGATACGGATAACTAATCACTTTAATGTAAGTTCAATTGAGTCTCTTTTTCGGTTTGAGCTATCATTACAAAGAAACTTTTAAATTTCCAGTAAAAAAAAAAATTTTAAATTCGATAAAATTCGAATTAAATCGAATTTGTGCCACCAAATTTCGAATCGAATAATCGAATGGTTGGGCAATGTTCGAAATTCGGTAAAAATCGAATTTCAACCCCCCACTACCCATCCCTAAAAGGAAAGGTGTGTAGAAAACAAAAACAATATGAATGATCCTATTATATTTACTAAAGGGCTGAAATCACAAAAATGCATTCAAGGAAATTGCAGAATTGAGCTTTGCTGCAAGTTCACATGGGAAATCTGCTTGCGATGGGATTGGAGGAAATTTTAAGAGATTAGCAGCTGTAGCAAGTCTTCAGCTCCCAACGTCACAACAAATTCTTACAACCTAGGCCCTCTACCTCTGTAATTATAATTAAAGCCCATAATAAGACGGAACAAATACATTTTTTTTTCATTAGGTTTCGTTAAAAGGTTTCCAAAATATAGCACTTTAAAGAAAGGTATGTATGAAGTTTTCTTAAAATTTAAGTCCTGCATATATATTCATGTCACTTAGACCTTCAATCTCTTCAACTTTCAACCAAATCATTAGAGGTCGCGGACAGAGGTGGCCGCGGTGACATGAAATGCCTCAATTAATATGAGTTTATTTTAAATTTACCCGATTAAAACGCCCAACAACCAAAGTTTGACAATAAATCTTTATACATAAGTATTGTATATTGAGTGAAAAATAGGCAGTCTATCACTATCAATTACGAAGATAACATTTTTTAATATAAAAAATGGAGAGTTCAGAAACTACAATAAACCTATTTTATTACAACGCTTTTATTAACTTGCAATGTTGTGTGTCCAGACACCATTTATTGCTATAAAACCTTCGCTTTGCAAAGATCCTATAAAAAAGTCTAGTGCATAGGGCGACATCTACCTCTCAACCGACGCTACAGCGGAAATGGACGACACGCCATTTCTATACATATGTATATGCATGTGTGTATTGCAAAATTTTATACAGACAAGACTAAAAAGTAGAAAATAAATAATATAAAAAAAACTTTTAATGTACAACGCTTTTATAAATGGACTAAAAAGTAGAAAATAATATTTCTCAGTTCGATAGAATTTGTTCTGATAACTTTTGATTTTGAAATTTTAGCAAAAGTTATTATAAACCATTTATGAGATTGAAAATGGAGGCGTGGAGCGCATGCAATACAAAGCATTAGATTTAATCGACAATAGTCAAACTACATAACATAGACCTAAAGTTTCTACAGAGAAAGTACAAATTTGAGATCGATTTTAAGCGGTCGTTATTCATATATCCACATACATACATATATTACCCTTCATATCAATTCAGGTCTATTACATGCGCCCCACAATTTTCAGTTTCAATCTCATATGGTTTATAATAACTTTTGCTAAAATTTCAAAATCAAAAGTTATCAAAACAAATTCTATGGGACTGAGAAATATTATTTTCTACATTTTAGTCCATTTATAAAAGCGGTGTACCTATATTAAAAAGTTTTTTTTTATATTATTTTCATGTTGTACTCGACGCTACATACAATCTAAACTAACAGCCGTATTCTAATAAAACTACAAACCTTAGCTCATCAGTGCTGTGATATCTACTGCGCCTCAGAGTTTGCGGCTGCAACAAATATGCCGCTACAATAAAAATTTTTCAGTTTTAGTGTGTTTTTCTAGCACTTAAAATCTAACTTTTGCGGCACATTTTGCGGCGCACTAGAAATCACAACAGTGATGAGCTAAGATTGGTAACTGGGTCAGAAGAGAGGGGTATAAATATCGTTAAGATTCTGAGATCATTTTATAATTAGAGATTAACGGGTGACGATTCGATGGCCGAAGTGGGGAGTGTTATAACTGGTTGCGGATCGAGGAATGCCTGGTCCAAGCCAACTGCGGCCAAAGGGTCAGATGTCTCATTTCCAGGCACTCCCTAGTTTCCCGGCATCCAGAGTAAAGCAAGCTCGTTATCTTTACCAACATAATTTAGTCGAGACTTGCATTGCCGAACTAGTTTTGAAGTACTTAGATAGAGGGCTGGCCAATGCCTTAAGTGCAGCTTGGCTCCCTCCACCTATTTTCCACCACGTAGTCTATGACTTTGGGGATTGCAAATACCTCAGCCTGGAAGACCGCATATTCCCCAAAAGAAAAAGTGAAGCTATTCCCCATTAACTTCGAAAAAATACTCCAGATCCTGACACTGAGTCAGTTTTGGAGCCATCAGTCAAGATTCGACAATGTGCGAGTGCGGGCTCAGTGCTGGAATTAAACCAGCATCCCCTATCCTGTAGCATTGAAAATACACAAGTGCTCAAATATCTGCCGCCGGCAATTTCCGCATCGCCCACTCAGTGTTATACCAACATCCGTTTTTTTGGTCCTCAGGTGGCCTTTAAGGCTTCCCCACGTACGCCGACACGAAGTGACGGTAAGTGCACCAGTGCGCCAAGAGCACTATACATTAAAGTTAAATAAATAGACTATCAAGCAACAATTTAGGTTCTTTACTATCGAGATCAGATGAATTTCCGTGGACCCCCATATTTGTTCACGCCAACCTGGACCACTTTTTGATTCACGGTAGTATACGGAAAATTTTATTTTTTTTAGTTTTTTATTTAGATTAACGTCTTGTCCGGCTATTTGGTATACAAGTATGTAGAGCCATGAATTTAAAAAATACATTAGGTTTTAGTTGAGATATTCGCCTTTGACCACTACATATATTCTGTAAATTTCCCAGTACTGCAATGCTTTTGCCATTCACTTGGGGGTGGCCAGAATGCTTACGGTTCAAATCGCAGCTCAATTCGTCCGGATATTTATATCCACGTATCCCCTGGGTAGAACGTATAACCCACGTGCGTTGGGTTTGGGTCCCGCACTTTAAAACCCTACCCAATGAAAAAAGACCATGCCTCTGATGATACCCCCTTCTTTTGATGACGATCATGGCAAACGTAGAAAGGACTATTATTTGAGGGTATGCACTAGAGGTGTCACACCATCGATAGTTTTGATAGTTTTCAGAAAAACTATCAATATTCACGATAGTCTCGAAAAAAACAAAACTATCGATAGCACTATCGATAGCGCTAAATCAGTTAGGTTGCTTTGTTTTTACAGGATCATAGTGAAATAAATATTATCTTATAAAGTTATAATCATTCAAAATTAAGTAACTGCATAGCCGAAATACTTCTCTTTTTAGAAAGTTCAAAACCAAACACAAGTTATACAAACAACAGGATTTACGATTAACACATGTATGTATGTTGGCCTAAATGCGTGCCTATTTGAATATGACGTCGACATCACACTAAAAACCAAAATTTTTAATTCAAATTAAAAAATTCAGGTATTACCAACAATAGTTCGATATTTTTGATAGTATAAGAAAAAACTATCAATGAGTATTGATAGTCTAAAAAAATTGAAACTATCGATACTATCGATAGTGCCATCGATAGTTTGACAAATCTAGTATGCACCTGGAATATCCGGACCCTTAATAGGGATGCTGCCCGGTTGGTTGATGTCCTCGGGAAAATAAAGACTGACATCACCGCCATCCATGAAATGCGATGGACGGGGCAAGACAAGGTAAGCGTGTCTCCTTGTCCGATTTGGCTCATATTCGAGATATAAATATTGGTAAAGGTAGGGGCAATATCTACTATTGGAGAAAAAGAGAGGAAACAAGTGGCGCTGTCAAGTGAAGTCAATCGGAGACACCAAGGATCAAAGTTAAATTACCACCGTTAAATCAATCACCAGAACGATTGCGGTCTTTGCTTTACGGCGACTAAACAGAATAAAGACAATTCTTGATAAATGCCTACAAATACAATTGTAACACTTCTAAGGTAATTCGTCTGAAATAAGTCTGTGTATATTGGATTTCTGTAGACTAATGATACTCCCCCATTTTGATATTGCCACAAATTGTACTATACAGATTCAAGGACGATTAACCATCGAACCAGATAATTGTTGCCACAAGAACTTCTTCACGGACATAACGCTTTAATTAGGTTATTTAAAACGGCAATGGAGGATATGCCTTCTGACGACCACAAAACCAAACGTGAACGTGATTATTGGTAAAATCCAAATGTTTAAATAAAACCCAGTGCGTGTAGTCCCTACGCGCGGAAGAAGTGAAACTTAATAGAGGAATTTCAGAAAGAAAGAAATGTGTGATATACGTACACATGTACATATTTTCTAATACACTAAATACATATTTATTTTAATTTTTTTAACGAGCTTTAATTTTTTATTTTTTATAACCAATTGCTAAGTTTAGTTATTATTTTTGGCTGAGAAAACATGCATATCTACAATATTAACTAGTAGATTGTGGTAACTAAAGTAAGATATAAAACGTTTTATTTCAATATTATTAATATTTCTAGAAAAACTGCATCAATGGTAGTCGCTAATTTGGTTGTTGGAACATATCTACCAATAACCATTTCCAATGAAAAGTTTTCTTTCACAAATTTTGTCAGTTCATCATACATGTATTCGGCCAGCGGAGAGTTTACGTTGAAATCTCCTGCGAGAATTACAGGTCGATCATAACAGTCTACTTATTTTTATATTCATCTTCATCTTCATCTTCATCTTCATCTTCATCTTCATCTTCATCTTCATCTTCATCTTCATCTTCATCTTCATCTTCATCTTCATCTTCATCTTCATCCTCATCTTCATCTTCATCTTCACCTTCATCTTCATCTTCATCTTCATCTTCATCTTCATCTTCATCTTCATCTTCATCTTCATC